CTGTATTTTTCTGTGTATAAGATTATGGTTTTGTCTAAAATCTTTAGACTAAAAATTGAGGGTTGTCTTATCCACGGAAGTACGCTGAGAAAAATCAAGCAGGACAACATGTTGAGGTATTCACCAGTGAAGGGTGCAGTGGCAAACAAGGAATATACTGTATTTTTCTGTGTATAAGATTATGGTTTTGTCTAAAATCTTTAGACGAAAAATTGAGGGTTGTCTTATCCACGGAAGTACGCTGAGAAGAGAATAAAAACTAGAGGAGGTGAAAGCAGGGATCAAAGCCATCCTGCAGCGCTTTTGATCCCTTTCCCTCTGCACTTGCTAAGCCCCACTCAGATTTCTTAATTTTGGATTGGAAAATGGGGGGGCCTCTTATACACAGAAAAATATGGTACATGCCAAGCAGGATGTGAACCACTTTGCTGGGAAGGCTGAACGCCCCACATATTTTCAGTCATGCAGAGACCATGCAGACTGAACAGGTAAACACTATGCCTCATTTCCTACCAAGCTGGCTCACTGTCTACTGAACATGCATAACCGTGAGGATGGTTGCCTGTTTCAAAAGCATCCGACTATTACAACGGTCAGCAGAACGACAACAGCACTTTGGTGAGAAGATTTCTGTTTCCTTTTAAAAGTCCAACAGACACCAATGCTTTTAATTTAGAAATCTGTGGGGCGGTCTACTTTGTAATTAGTGTCATTCACAATGGGTCTTACAGCAGACGTCTTGTTTTCCATTGGTGGGCCAGAAAACGGATGTGTCAATGTTCATAGGCTTGCGATTAAAAAGAAAAGTTTATGAAAACCTAGCACAGGAACCTTCCGATTCTTAGAGATTTCTCAAAAACAAGCCATGGCAGACATGCTTCCATAAGAGCCACCGGCTTGATGAGGGACCCTCACCTTCCAAGTTGATGGGGAAACAAACTCACGGATCGCACGCAAAGTGGTGCTGCTCTGTCTGTGTGCTCTACTCTCGGTTCTGAAATACGCCCTGCAGGAAGTGTGTCCGCCCCTCCATTGCGATGGGGCAGTCAAAAGCACAAATTACATACATATTTTTATTACAGCCCTTAGACGGATTGAACAAAAACTATAACAGTTTCTATCTTTCCAGCATAAAAACATAACAGAATTAGCACTTTGTTTAAAATCCATCAAAAATCTTACAAATTAAAGCCATTTAAAACCCACAATTTAAAGCCATTTAAAATCTACACATCTAAAATTTATCTATCCTTTGATATCTGGAATCTTAAGTATCATCCCCGTGCAGAAACTTGCAGCATGGTAGGTAATCTTGGGGTCTTTATCTAAGAGAAGAAACTGGAGTCTGTACGGCCTGGGTTCTTTTTAATCAGTGGAAAAATAATCTCGTTACATGCAATCTCGTAATGGGGACAGGTAAAAAAAAAACATGTGTTGCATAGTTTCTACCACCCCTAGCAAACAAAATCTTTCTGCAGAAGGCACATTCCTATATTTCCCTTCGAGGACGGCCAATGGAAGGGCAGAGCATCTTACTAGTGTGACAACTCTTCCAAATCCTCTTACTTTTAAGAGTGACAGACCATCTGCTGGTTCCATGGGGTTCTTAAGGTAGGCCCTAAGGCGCAGCAGATTTTGTACACTAGCAAAATCAGCTTGGCGTTCTATGTCGTCAATTCTTTGTTTGACTAATTTCCGTGCCTCGTTTATTTGGTACAACAGAAGCACTTGTGGAGAGAGACCAGTCGTCAATTCTTAGACTAATTTCCATGCCTCGTTTATTTGATACAACAGAAGCACTTGTGGAGAGAGACCAATTGTCATCAAATTTATTTATTTATTTATTTATTTATTTATTTATTTATTTACTTACTTACTTACTTACTTACTTACTTACTTACTTACTTA